TTTTGACAGTGCAGTTTGCCTATTTGAGCAAAAGTCCTCAGATGTTACTCCCTCCTCAGATGGGGATGAATCGAAAAGGGGTTTCACTGCTGCTGTCATGCTACCGTCAGATAAAGGGCTGCTTTGTGTGACTGCCGATCAGGAGTTCCTTTTATATTCCCCAGTTATGGTTCCCGAATGGACGTTGGAATTTGTCCTAAGCAAAAGACTTGTAGGATACAATGATGAGATTGTGGATATGAAGTTTTTAGGTGATGAGGAACAATTTCTTGCTGTTGCCACAAATATTGAACAGGTAATTACTAGATTCCTATCTACCTTAGATTAATCATATTGTTGGCTTGCAAGTAGAATTGGTTGGTTCAACTAAATATGTACATGCTATTAAACTCTGAGAAGATCAATTCTCTCCTCGAATGAAAATATCACATTTTAACTTTTCATTGCATCCTTGTTTTCTTAAATGTCTTTGAACTCAGTTCTTTGTTAACCTTTCATTGCTTCCTTGTTTTCATTGCTTCCTATGCACCATTTTCATTCTTGTACCATGCATCAACGTATGTTCGCGAAAATCCTTGCTTCATTGATGGGGATTCAAAACTTGTGAATCTGAATCTGGTTTTATAAAAATACTAGGTTTGACATTGCACACATACACATTATTGGTTTTAGAGTGTTTATTTAGCTGAAAATCCATCTGTTCAGCGTCAGTTGTCTTTTATTTGGAAGTGTCATTAATAATTGAAAATTTTCATTGTTTACAAATATACATTTCTGTGGTAATCCTGGTACTATCTATTTAAGTTGGGCGAATACAGCTTGATTGGGCCATGATACCATGTAGGCTAGTGCACCCATTAGACAAGTGCATCCTTCAAGTATTCATGTGATTAAAGTAATATGACGTCTGTTATATGGTTTGGTTATTGAAATGTTATTTAACCTGGAAACATGCAGGTACGAGTATATGATGTTGCATCCATGTCGTGTTCTTATGTGCTGGCAGGTCATACCGGAATTGTTCTATGTGTTGACACCTGCGTATCAAGTTGTGGAAGAACACTTATAGTGACTGGAAGCAAGGACAACACTGTAAGTTTCTGTTTCTCTGTCTGCCATAAGGCAGTTGTGGGCTTGTTTTTCTCCCTCTCCGGTGCTGGTAGAAACTGGATCTCCTCGATTCATATAGATTTCAAGAACTATATTAGGCTAAGAATCTGTCTGTTGTGTCTCCCTGTGTCTGCATGTGGCCTGTGTGTTTATAGATTATATATGTTGTCATTTCTGACTCTATCCTCTGTAGGTTCGGTTGTGGGAATCAGAAAGTAGATGTTGCCTTGGTCTTGGCATAGGTCACATGGGAAGTATTGGAGCTATTGCTTTCTCAAAAAAGCGTAAAGACTTTTTCGTTAGTGGTAGTAGGTGAGCACTTTGCAGGCCATCCTTTTACCAAATTCTGTCTTATATTTTGTTTACAATTGCAACCTTTACTGGTGATGCTTTCAATAGTTAAATGATTACTTGGGTTGTGACCTCAAGGTGGATACCTCTATCGAGCTCTATTTAGCTGATTAAGGTGTTAAGGAACTGTTTAGTCTTGTATAACCTATATTATGTTTTCGTCTAGTGATCGTACCCTCAAGGTGTGGACTTTGGATGGTCTTCCAGACAATGGGGAACAGCCTATAAATTTGAAAGCAAAGGCTGGTGTAGCAGCCCACGATAAGGATATCAATTCAGTAGCTGTTGCACCTAATGATAGTTTAGTTTGTAGTGGTTCACAGGTTTGTAGTTTTTTAAGGTTCTTTAATTCTTTTATATTTATCATATTACCTTAGTGAAACTATGGCACTACCTTACTCAACTTTCTGGGTTCTCCTCATTGATCAGGATCGCACTGCTTGTGTCTGGAGGCTTCCAGATCTTGTACCAGTAGTTGTACTTAAGGGTCATAAAAGGGGCGTTTGGTCTGTAGAATTTTCTCCAGTTGATCAATGTGTTATAACAGCTTCTGGTGACAAAACAATAAAGATATGGGCCATATCCAACGGTTCATGCTTGAAAACATTTGAAGGGCATACAACAAGTGTATTAAGAGCATCATTCCTTACTCGTGGAACACAGTTTGTTTCTTGTGGTAATGAGGCTCGCTTCACACTTTTGTTGTCCTCGCCTCTTGTAACTGTGGCTATATATGCATTGACTATATTATCATTTTCAGGTGCTGATGGTTTGTTAAAGCTGTGGATGGTCAAAACCGATGAATGCATTGCTACATACGATCAGCATGAGAACAAGGTACTGAAAATATATACATATCAATTTATTAGTCAATATAATGTATGTTAAAAGTTAGAAGTGAGGAGTCGGAAGGTTTGTTATTGTCTATCATTTACTCATCTGTCGTTGAGTTGTGATTTATTGACCTTGGGTCACACAGCAAAAGTTGTGTAGGAGATTTGATAATATACATGAAAACATGTGATCATCAACATGGAGTCGTCAAAATGTAGGTTGAACCTTCAGATTATGGCAACGTAAAGATGTTGGGTTTATGATCATCAACATGTAGGTTTTGATAATATACCTGAAAACATGTAATCATCAACATGGAGTCGTCAAACTGTAGGTTGAATTATGGCAACGTAAATATGTTGGGTTTATGTTTTGTTGGATGTACTGGAACTATCCTCTCATGGCTGAGATCTCTTGATCTTGGTTTTGGCCTTTGAAATCTGTTTTAATGCCTTTCAGCTTTACCCTGGCTGGCCAAGCTATCTTTTTCCTATCTTCCCTACCAAAGTAGATTTTTGCTCTCCATGTCATTTACTGACAAGATTTAATCTGCAGGTTTATGCCTTGGCTGTGGGAAAGAACACAGAAATGCTTGCAACTGGCAGCAGTGATGCTGTCATCAATCTATGGTATGATTGTACTGCCTCTGATAAAGAGGAAGCTTTTCGTAGAGAGGTTAGTTGCTGTTTTTTTTTTTTGGTTTCTTTTTTGGGTGCATAGAGGTAATACAGTTTTATGGAATGTGAAATATTAAAATCTAAAAATAGAGCAAATTCATCCAAGAGAATTGATTTCTGGCATTAACCAAATTTCATTTATAAGTCAGGCTATTGTTACCTTTGGTTCCAAGATCTATTGTTATATTGATAGGTGAAATCTTAAGATATTACATGTGAACAAATTTTTGTCAAATTCACTTTTAAAAAACATAGATCTATTTACACATGGGATTTTTCATTATGATTCAGGAGGAAGGTGTTTTAAAGAATCAAGAACTAGAAAATGCTGTATTAGATGCTGACTTTACTAAAGCAATCCAAGTTGCCTTTGAGCTTCGCAGGCCTCATAAGCTTTATGAGTGTTTTTCTCAAGTTTGGAGGTTGGGAATCATTTTCTTTTATTTTCTATTTATGTTTTTTTCTTTTCCTTTTACTGAGTCTCTCTTGAACTTTTGACATGTAACTCATACATGTTGTCTGCAGGAAGAGAAAAAATGAAAAGCAGATAGAGAAATCCCTTCAGACCCTTGGCAAGGAAGAGCTCAAGCTATTATTTGAATACGTTCGAGAATGGAATACAAAGCCAAAGCTCTGTCATGTTGCACACTTCGTGCTTTCTAAAGTTTTCAGCATCCTTAATCCAATAGAGATTACTGAGGTAGTTCTCTTTACTTACGTTTGTGTCGTCTTTTAAGGTTACAAAGAAAAGCATTCCGTAGGATATTGTCATATTCACTAAATGTTGGTTTTGATACATTTTAGTGATTGTTTATCTGTCAACTGCATGTGTTGACAAGCCTCCCTTAGTACTGGCATTAATTCCTACAAATGGGTATTGCGCTTTAGATCTCTCTGGCATTTTATGGTGATATGCTTGAAGAGGATCTTGTTTGTTCCTTGATCAATAATCGTGGTTTTTGGTTAATCAATAATGAAAATTATTGGGTTGTCAGATCCGATCTGGTTAACTTTGTTTCACTAAAAACACTACCCCCTCTCCCCCTTTATCTCTTTGGTTGTCAAATGCATGATTAGGATGTTTGTGTTGGTGTTGACACTAGGACACAAATTGAAATGGTGGTCATTTTTTCTGGCCTGAAAAGAGCCTTACTGATTGATTTTTGGTCTTATCAGATAAAAGGCATTGACGAAGTCCTTGAAGGTCTCTTGTCGTATTCCCAGAGGCATTTTAGCAGGATGGACAGGCATGTAACAAGCACATTTTTGGTAAACTACGCTCTTACTGGGATGTCAGTCATTGAACCAGAGACAGATACAAGAGTAATGGATGACAAGTATTTGATGCACTCTGTTGGTGATGATGAGAATGGGACATTAATACAGGAACTTGAAGATGAGGAGCAAAAGCAGACCTCTCAAGGGTTGAAAGAAAAAGCAGTTTCTAAGAAACGGAAATCAAAGAAATCAAAAGATGGTGTCAATAAGAAAGTTAAGGGGTCCAGCTTATAATAGGGTTTCAATTCTTGTATCAATATTGGTGGATGTTTTGGCCCTTGTAATGTATTTGTCAACTGATTGAGCAGATTGTTCTGTGATTCAATCAGAAATTTTGGGATCATATTGAGAATTTGTAGCCATTATAGAAAACGCGCTTCTGCCCTGTCTTTTGGCTTCCAATGCCTCGGTCTGGGGAAAGGTACCATACATATTACCTCGTGTGTATTATGTTTGGTGTTCGATACTGCTTGGACGAATTTACCAAAAGCAATTCATCATTTTTTACCTTAGCACTCCCTTCTTGGAACTTCATTTACTTTCTCTTGTTATAATAGTACCCCAAACTCGCAAGTTGTTTATTCTAATCGAGGGGTCCAAAATGTATATTTGACTTTTTTCAACCAGCACTGATTCATGAAATGTCATTTAGTTGGTCAATATACCCTTAGTATTTGTATAAATATTTAGCTTAATAGTACCAGGCAGTACCCAAATCTTCAAATTTTATAGCACAGTAGTACACTAGGACTAGATCGTAGAGATGAAAATGGACAGCAATGTAGCACAGCTGGTCAATGACATCCTCAAACCATGACCTAGTTCATGAGACGAAAGAAACAGAGAAGAGGCAGCAGCTGATGATTTTAAATTTGCTGGGTCAGTTGAGGGCGAGGCAGGCACTGCAGCTGGTGTATTTGGATTATCATCAACGGGTGATGATGAGGCTGGAGGAGCTTTATCAGAACAAGAATCATCATCTTGATCAGGGGGTGGTAAAGGAGGAGGAGGAGGAGGAGGTGCTAGTGGTGCTAGAACCCCGTCTATGCCATGGCATTGAATAGAAGAGGCCGATGCAGCGCATACATTCGGTTTAACAATTTTGACATTGTTGAGATAGAAATACCTCCCTGCATTGTTGCTGGCATTGTTGGAGACTCTGAGTGAGTAGCCTGGCTTTGAACTGGGAATTGTTGAACCTGTTGGGATATGTTCCAAATACTCGAAAAGCAATGGTGAAGGGATCGAATGACGAAGCAAGAAATCCGTAACAGCGTCCCCCTCCTCATGTGCCACTGCCACTGGCAACACCACCTCTGATAGCATCTGATCGTTGGGCATGAAGAAAGTGACGTTCTTTTCTAGTCTCTCATCAATGGGGCCTACCATGTTCATCAGCATTACAAAGGTGAAGTAGTTGCCGCTTTGCATCTCTCCTATGGCAGTGCCAATCTCTTCGTTTTGATTCCTCGGGCTTATAGGTGGAGGAAGAGAAGTATTTGTATTTGTATTTGTAGAAGAAACTGATGAAATATTGCAGAGTATTATTATTGCAGCCATGATCAGATTCAGATTCACAAGTAAGGAGGTGGCCATGACTTTCAGGTGGTTGATTATGAAAGGGGTGAGGAGGAGGAGGAGGAGGAGGAGGGGAGATGTGTCTGTTTCATTCAATGTTTGTCTTATCTTTATATTATAGGAGTAGGAGTAGGAGCAGAGCAGGACCATGCAACTCTGCTGCTTCAACAACTGAGTTCCACGCCTTTTGTGTTTTCTGAGTTCTTTAGGGACACAGTTTGCATGTGGGTACGACTTATGAGGCTTTTTTCTTGAATTATTCTTCTACTGCACTGCACCTTTTAAATTATTCATACCAGCGGCAAAATTTGTTCTGTTCAGAATTCAGATCAAAGTTTGTTTCAAACCAAAATGGTGACAGATCGGAAGGTCGACTGGTCAACCTTGTGTTTCGAAAACAAGAAATTTCGAAATATCACTTTATCCGCCGCCCCAAAACCAAATTAACTAGTAGTTATGTCGGCCAGACAAGAAAATGTTTGGATTGCATGTTGACGACTTCACTTTATTCCCCATACATAAAGTATAAGCAAGTAATAAATCGAATCCTGATAGGCAACAACAGAATGGAAGGAAACTGACAGAATTCATACTAACTTTCAAGTCGATCGATATCACAAGAGAAAAAAAAATCCATAATTAATAATCTGTGCACCATAAACAATATAATTTTTTTTATTTTTAAAATCCTAATCTTCCAAGTCAAAGCGAAACATTCAAATGAATTCTCCATTAAAGCATCAAAAAAATGCCGGGAAACCTACAACATCCCTATGCGGCTATGCCTTTGTTGGTCCCATCCCATGGCATCATAGTACACGAGTCATACTCAAATTGCTCCAAGTTACTTGATTACTGCTGGACAAAATTCAAACAGGAACAAGAAGCACAACATGCTAGTGCCATCACAAAGCATGATTTAACTTGTTCAGGTATGAAACAAATAAAGGAATGTAACTGAACAGATTAACAGCAAAGAATGACCTATTTATTAGGGGAACTGGAATGATCCACCAATTTGGTTGGTACCAGAAGGTGGATTGATTGCCACCCAAAGAAGAGAGATGGTAATCGCAATGAGCCCCGACCATACAAAAACAATGGTGGGTGTCCTCCCTCGTCTCCCCATCAACCCTTTGGCAAAAGGATAGAGATGAGCTAAAACCCAGAAACTGAAGAAAACCCCGCCAAGTAACCGGCTCCACTGCGGTATCACACTGTATATTGTTCGGCTAAACCCAACTGCTATTGCAATTAAGTTGACCATCATGATTGTTATTGGCGGGATCATCAGAGATGACCATTTCACAATATAGAGGTCAGCAAACTCATCATCCTCATCATCACCACCTGATTTTGAAGTTAAGGTGAAAGAGATTTCAATCCCTGCAATAACTTTCAATAGCCCCTGAAGCACAGCAGCAAGGTGGGCACTAGTCCCTCCGATCAACCAAAACTGCTCGTTTCTCCACCACTCTTCTAGCTCAATGCCAGACCATTTAATCTCAAGCACAGCAAGCATGCATAGAGTGAGGGTGATGGTCAAAAGATAGGTCAGGAATGTAACATTGAGGCTCTGGACAATGAATTGACCAGAGAAGAGGGAAAGGGCCGGGAGGAAGCAGTAGACGATGAGGAAGATGGAGGTAAAGGGGTAAATACCCACATTGAGGTATGCTATCCTTTGCAGAAGCTTCATTCTTGGGCTGGCTAGGAGGGCATTGTTGCGAGAGAAGAATATCTCAACTGAGCCAGTAGCCCAGCGCAGAACCTGATGCAACCTATCAGTAAGATTAATAGGAGCAGTTCCACGGAATGCATCTCGCTTGGTCACACAGTAAACTGATTTCCATCCTCTGTTATGCATCCTATACCCAGTGACCACATCTTCAGTAACTGATCCGTAAATCCACCCTACACGCTGTCCCCACTCAGTCTTGTCTTCATACCAGCAGGAAATGACACTGATCGCCTCTGCAACAGTAGATGCATCGAGAAGCTCACGAGGAATGGTCAAAGCACCAGGTGGGCGTCCATTCTTCACAGCTGGGTGATCTGCAAGGGGACGACCTTGGAACTCTGCCACTGGAATCGAATCAATGAGGAAACTTGAGTTCCCAAACCTCTTAGGCAGCAGGGAGAGATTCATCTCTTCATCGTCAGAATCACCCATTCTTAAGGCTCGGTTTTCTTCAGGGGTGTGAGCTACCGAGGAATGCTTTCTGCGACGAGAAAAGCAGCAACTGCAACAACCTGGGTGATGATCTTTTGACCGAGGTGGGTCGAAACCATAAAGGGAAATTCTACGAAAGAGGCATCCAGTTCCAACATAAACTGGGCCCTGAAGCCCATCAAGAGCTCGCATATTGACATCAAAGAAAACAGTGTTATGATTAGCATATCGATCTGAAGGGTCAATACCCTCAAATCTCTGAGGAAACTGGACATAACAAAGGCGGTCACCTCCACGATCCATCATGAAGCACATGCCTTCCCTCATTGCCTGAGAGTTGTAAATATAATGGTCACAGTCGAGGTTGAGAATGAACGGGCCATTGGACATTATGGCAGAGGCTCGAACGAGGGCATTCATGGCTCCGGCCTTCTTGTTGTGATCATAGCCTGGGCGTTTCTCACGCGACACATAAACAAGCATGGGAAGGCGGATATCAACGTCAGTGAGGTCGATGAGCCTAGCATCATCATCAGCTCCATGCAGCGGTTCATCACTGGGAGGTTTTAACATCACCTGCATCAACAGGGTGAATAAGCGTTCAGCCCTAACCTTTTTTTTTTTTTTGGTTTAGTTATACAAGCAAAATATGTAAGAACAATCCCTCCGCAGTTAGACAGCAAAATAATATAGTTTACCAGAACTAGAGGAATACCTGTATAATACCAGCATGGTCACTCTTAGAATGCTCAGGTGAAGCACTCAACCAAGTCCCTGGCCAGTGGGTTCCATCAGCCATCCATGTTGCTTTGGGAACCTTCACACTCTCCACAGGTTCATCCTCTCTGTTCTCTCTTTGAAGCTTCATGGCCTTGATTTCTTCCCGAGCATGATAAGCATCTGACCGTCGGCGTATAGAGTCAGGCAGTCCATTAATCCGAACCTTGAACTCATCATATTCACGTTTTACCCTTCGACGATCCTTGACAAAGTCAGGCAGCACTTTGTTCTTGTATGGATCCCTCTTCAAATTGAAATAAGATTCAGGATTCCTGGGCTCAATCCTATGTTTACGGCAGAAGGGTACCCATATATTAGCAAAACTAGCAGCTTCTGCCATGGCCTCAAAAGTTAAAAGTGCACCTCCATCGTCAGAAACATAGCAAGCTAGCTTTTCAACAGGATAATCAGTAGCCAGAATAGATAAGATAGTGTTTGCAGTGACAAGAGGTGGTTCTTTATCCGGATCTGCAGTGGAGACAAAGATATCTATGCCTGGAAGATCAGATTTCCCGGTGGGGTTGTTGGGGCTAGGTGTTTCAAACTTCTCCTTCAAGACATTAAGATCCGTAGAACGATTGACTGGGCATAACTTGGGCAGTTGGTCAAGCAGCCAAGAAAAAGCAAACCAGATCTCACAAACTACTGACATTCCCCAAAGCCAGATTGCATCATTATTTGGGTGGTTGACCCTCCATGCCAAGAACAGCGCAAGGACAACCATACGAATAAATATTAGAAGCCTGTGAACACATAAGCAACAGAGAGCAAAAGGCAATTATTTTCAGGACAATGAAGAATGATCTCAAAAGGAATGCACCAAGTGTTCGCAGCTTATTTATAATCTCGCGGATCTATCTATCAGCAGGATAACATAAAGATGTAGCTCATTGTAGACAGTTAAATTTGGTGTGGTGACAAATAGGTCCAATGCATTCTCCAATCTCAAAATCAACCGCTGAGCACACAGCATATGACTCTGTACATATGTATACGTGGATCTTCTTACCACTTAATTTAGAAATGCATCTGAATGAAATACGTGGAATGATGATGTTTTGAAAATGTAAAGTTATCATTTTGCAAATGAGATTGCCATCATAACATAGTTTACCTTCGGGGATACAAGGACTGGATAAAACGTAAGGCAAGAAATGTACCTATACGGGCTTAGAATAGCTGCAGGTATCTTTAATTTCCGTGTGAGTGGCCTCCATGGTTTGTTCATCAACTCTGTTGGTTCAACGACTTCGTCATCTTTCCCATTTCCAAAACCGCCCTCCTTAGGCCATATGGCATTTCCATAACCATAAGTTCCCTTTGTTTCAAAGAGCCACCGGTTGTGATCAAAATCCCCAGTTTGACTCCTCATCAGCACTGACTTTGTTGACTTCATCAATGACAACCTCCTTTCATTTTTGGACATCCCGTTTGGAAGAGGAAGTGGGAGCGGTGGCCGTGCATTATCCACAGCCATTTCATCCAAATCTGTGTTTTTGTATGTTTCCTTGCATCCAGGGCAAATACTACCCCCTGTTTTCACAGCATCTGTATAGCAATCCCGACATATTTTGAAATCACACTCACAAGGAAGAATATCCACTCCACGTTCATCACTCATCACTTTTGCATCACATCCAGGAATTGCACATGATGACCCTTTAGCACCAGCCATCTGAGGATGGTTTGCTTCAGATTCGATCACCTTATCCATAAGATGAGCTCGCGTAACACTATTAAACCCACCTGTAAAAAGTGAATTCGACACATATTGCTCTTCAACCTTCTGTGAGATGGATGGATCCATGGGTTGGTTATCTGGGGTTGGTGGTATGTGAACTGTATAGTTCATAAAGTCACCACTCCCGAGTTCACTATCAAGATCATCCCTTGAGTAGCTGATGTAGCGACCAGAGGAAGTTCTCCGGCCAAATGTCACAGTCGGAGGCACTGGAGGCTTGTCATGTGCATCAGGCATATCAGAGTTTGATGATAGATTCGATCTGCTCGCCTTAAACGATCTGGATGCCATAGTTGAACCACTACCAGTTACTTATCCTTAGTT